ATGCCTTTGCATAGTTAATTAAATGCATAGTCTAGACAGACATTCTTCTGGTATTTTCTGCTTTCAGCCAAGGTCTATCTAATGTTGGCTATGATGTCCCTAGTGCCATGCCCTTTTCTAAAGCCAGTCTGCCCATCTGTTCACTGCTGACGTACTGTTTCATTCATTTCTGAATAATCTTCAGTAGGATCTTTCTTGTGTGTTAATATTAGTGATGTCATTTGATAATTTATTTCCACACTATGTTGTGGGTCACCTTTTTTTGGAATGAGAATAAAATAGGTCTCTTCAGTCAGTTGGCCAGGTAGTTGTCCTCCAGATTTCTTGGCATGACCTGGTGAGCACGTCTGTTTGCTGAAATATATCAATTGATATTCCATCAATTCCTAGGTTATTCCTCCCCCCAATTCATTCAGAGCAGCTTGAACTTTCTCCTTCATAACCAGAAGCTCTTGAGCATATATTTTTTTTTCATTAAATTCTTCTGTATCAGCCAATTATTTTTGGTATAGTATCTCTGTGTACTCTTACCATCCTCTTATAATGCTTCCAGGGTCATTCTACATCCTATCTTCAGCATCCTTAAATATTGTAACTCAAGGCTTGAATTTGTTCTTCAGTTCTTTCTGCTGAAGAAATGCTCAGTGAGTTCAGATTTTTTGATTTTCTGACTCCACTTCCTTGCACATTCGATTATTGTATTTTGCTTGGTCTTCCTGTGCTGCCTTTTGAAATCTTCTGTTCAGCTCCTTACCTTCTTGATTTCTTCCCTTTGCTTTGGCTTCTCAGTGCTCTGCTGCAATATTCAGAGTCTCTTCTGACATCCATCTTGGTCTTTTCTTTTTCATCTGTCTTTGCAGTGACTTTTTGCATTCTTCATGAAGGATATTCTTGATATCCTCTCATAACTAGTCTGGCCTTCGTTCTTTAGTGTTCAAGGTCTCAAACCAGTTCCTGAGATGTTCTTTAAATTCTGGTGGGATAGACTTGAGGTAAAACCTTGGTTCTTGTGGATTTGATTTGATTTTCTTTTGCGTCAGTTTGAACTTGCATAGGAGTAGTCAGTGGTCTTTTCCAAAATCTCAACAACACCTGATGTTAAGCTTCTCCAATTTTTAATTTATTTCCACACTATGTTGGGTCACCTTTTTTTGGAATGAGAATAAAATAGGTCTCTTCAGTCAGTTGGCCAGGTAGTTGTCCTCCAGATTTCTTGGCATGACCTGGTGAGCACGTCTGTGATGTAGTCAGTCTGATTCCTGGTCAATTATCAGTTGATGTCCATGTGTATTATGGTCATTTATATTGCTTATAAAAGGTGTTTGTGATGAATAGATCATTGATTGTACAGAATTCTCTTGCTCTGTTTCCAGCCTCTTTCTGTCACAAAGTTAATATTTTCCAACCACTGATCCTTCTTCCCTGTTCCCAACTTTTTTCATTCCAGTCACTCATTATTATCAAAGTATCTTGGTTGCATATTCAATTGATTTCTGACAGCAAACGTTGGTAGAAGTCATCTACTTCCCTCTTTGGTTCTCTTTGATCGTTGATGTATAAATTTGAATGATAGTAGTATTAACAGGTCTTCCTTGTATGTGTATTATTGTTATCCTGTAACTCACAACATTGTATTTTAAAATGGATTTAGAAATGGTCTTTTTATATAAAATTTTTATTTTATACTAGTTTGTTTACCTAAAAAGTTTGTATACATTGTTTTTCACACTTTATCTTTCCCAAGAAATGGTCTTTCTAACTATGAAAGCAACTCCATATTTTCTTATCTTTTCATCTCCAGGGTAGTAGATGACATGATTATCTGATTCAAAATGTCCCATGCCAACCCATTTAATTTCACCAATATATCAATATTTGTGTGTTCCATATCTTCTTTAACAATCTCCAATTTTCCCAAATTCATTCCTCTCATATTCCTTGTTCTAATTAGTAGAGTGTGTCCCTCCTCCTTTGTGATTCCCAGAGAGAAGTTTCTACCTCTAGTACTGTATCTGCTAGTCTAATCAGAATGTGCTCTCTTTTACATAGCATTAACAATAGGAAGATTTAAATGTGCAAACTAACGAATAAAGAATTTCTTTGGATTACTTGAGCATACAAGAATTGGCAGAAGGAAAGAATGAATTTACTTTGTTGGATGATTGGAAAAACCAGTCTGGGTTGAAATGGTTGTTGTGGATAATCCTCAGAATTAATCAATCCATGGAAATTAACATGCTTAATCAGCTTTTAGGATAATTGTGTCATCTTTAGATTTTGGAAAGGAGAGTTGAGGAGAGTAATGAATCGTTACAAAAAATTAACCAAAAAGGTATTTCCCCCCCCCCCCAGGAGAAAGTAATAAGAGTTGCTCTTGGTTTTCTTCCCTATCTTGCCTTCTTACTCTTCTCCCTTCTTCCTTCCTTCCTTCCTGCCTGCCTTTTTCCTCTTCTTTTTTTACCTTCCTTCATTCTTTTTCCTTTATCTTTTCTTTCTCATCTTCCTCCTTTCCTCCCTTTCTTTCTTCAACTTAATTTCTTTTCTAAATTCCCATTCTTTTATAGCTATACTTGAAGGAGCTTACTGGCCTCATCTGCAAAGAATTGTGATGCTAGCCCAAAGCTTTGGCATCTAACAGCTGTTCTGAGAAAGATGAACAATCTTCTCCCAAATGATTTATAGCCTTGGAGACCCACTAGAGGGTCAAGCTATGAGTTAGTTAGAATACTTACCTCAGTGCACTTTGTTGATGGTACACAGATTTCTGTTGCCTCACGAGACTGTCAGTAACTTGAGGAAGTTACTACATCTTATTCACAGTGGTGTTTCTTGTGACTTACAGGTCTTTGGTCCACATAAATATATATACATATACTTTGCTTTGTCTTCTCAAACAGCCCTTTGAAGTCTTCTGTTCAACTTTCTTACTTGAGCATTCCTTTAGTCATTAGTCTTTAGTCTTTAATGAGTTTAATCTAAAAAATATTTCTAAATTCAGTTGGATTTTAAGCTGGTGTTCAATGTGTCATATCTGTTAAGATTTTTTAAAAAAATTTGGTTGAAATATACTCAAGGTCATATTTTGATTCTTTTGAACTTGCTTTAATTTTCTTCAGCTTTAATTTGAACTTTCATATGGATACTTCTTGGTCTGTTCCACAATCAGCCCTGCCTTAGTTTTTACTGCTGATACTTGAGCACCTAACACCACCACCATGACGACCATACACACACACACACACATTTTATAAGTGCTCAGTTCTTTCATTCATAGGGTTGCTATGAGCCGTCTACAACTTTATGGCTCTTAACAACAACACAGAGAGAGCTTAGTTGGCCTAGTGGATTGAAAGTTATGCTACCAAGCTAGAGGTAGGTAATTTTAATCTGCCACCCTCAGGCCTACTTTTAGTTGTTTTTTGTCAAACATTCTTATAAGTGGTATAGCAACTCGTGGTTGCTGTGATACTAAACACTGTGACACTGATTTGTCAAATGTGATAATGGTTACCCAAGGTAGACAGTGTTTGGTGGAGCTCCCTGATTAAAACAACCTTGGAAGCAGGAGTGGCATCTGCTTCTGAAATAGCTTGCCTCCAGAACTCTATGAACGTGGAGAAATGATGAAAGCTATACAAGTGTTCAGGTCTTTCATTTATAAGGTCGCTATGAGTTGTCTACGACTCGATGGCATTTAACAACAACAACAATACATGTCTAGAATAAGTAACTCGATAACTTTGGCAATATAAAATATTGTCATAGGAAATGTGTTCCATAATTGTTTTTTGGGAATAATTTTTATTAATATAATAGAGGAAGTTTTCAGGAAAAGATAAAGATCCAGGAAGATGGTGAAGTCTACTTCTGTGGTGATGTTAGAAAAATAGAGGAAACATCTGTGATAATGGTTTAAACATCAAACCTATCTTGAAGCGTGTAGATGGGGAGACTGATAAATGAGTCCATGAATCTTTGATAGCTTAGCCTGAGGAAGAGGTCAAGAGGGAGACCTTATAACTACTTCAAATATGGAAAGTGGCTATTGTTGTTTTCCGTAGAATATGGATAGTAATCAAATAAGCTTAACCTAAAGTCTTAGACATTTAAGTCATATTTTATAACTAACGATGTTAGAAATAGTGGTAATCTGAATAATATAAAGTACTAATCTTTGTGAAATGTGGGGAGTACTATGATTTTATTGCAGCATAAATATTTTGTGCAGTCATCTGAATAAAAAAATAATTCCAGCACATTATATTTTAATATAGTACTATTATAGGAAAATAATGTTTCTGAAAATTTTATTTTAAAACATCAATTAGCATCACTACTTCAAGGATAAGAAGGGGATATTGAAATAATAAGTGTGTTATTTGTTGTTGTTGTTGTTACATGCTATTACTTTGATTCCAACTCACATCAAGTCTGTAAAACACATTTAAGTCTTCCCTGATCTTGCACCATCTCCACAATCTTTGCTGTCCTTAACTCCATTGTTGCTATTAATGTGTTACTTCAGCTCTGAAGGTCTTCTCATTTGCCTTCTTGCCAAACACTTCTGTGAGTTGTCTTATTAAACCCATAGCTGAACCATCAGGAGTCATGGACAGGTCTTTTCTGTCATTTCACTTTTGTTTTGGCCACAGAGCCTTTGCTAATGAAAATCTGGAAGTGTTATTCATGTTATTGTTGTGTACAGTGCAGCCACAAAAGACTCGTTGCTGACCCTCTATTCACTTTTCAGAAGCATTTTATCATATAGAAGAGAGTACCCATATTTCTCCTGACAATCAACTGGTGGATTCAAGCCACAGGCCTTTTTCATGGGCAGCACCATTACTTCTGAGGGGGTACAAAACTTTATCAATAAAAAGTGAGCCAAAATAACGCTTAAAAAGGATCTCTAGGACCCACTTGATTGTAATTTCAGCATATAACCACACGATGTCGCAATTGGATTTTTATTTTCACTATGTCCCCCCCCTCCCCCGCAGATGAAGGCGTTTTCAAAGCCGGAGCTGAGAGATCTGAAACGCGGGGGGCAGCAGAAGTCCAAGAAGATGAAGATACTCAGGTTGAGGTTCCAGTTGATCAGGTAACCTCTGTGTCTTTAAAAAATATGTATAAGCCAATTATTACTGGCTTTCCTTTCTTTTTAAGGCTTATATTATCTGTTTCATGCTGTTCCAGCATGTGAGTTGAACTCTCCAGGTGCTATGTAGGCTGAATGACCTTAAAAACAAAACACCCTTGAGTTCTTAAAGTATTCTTTCAGAGAATAGCTATTGTGTTGAGCCCTTTCTTGATCATAGAAAGTGGAATACCTTTATCAAACTGCCTTAGAGAGGAGGATGGGATCAAGATAACAATAGATAGGAGGTAAAATTAATCAGGAAGAAAGTTTGATACAGTAAAAAATATTGGCTGTTTAAAAATTTTTGCTATTGTTTTGTTTTGCTTTTTCACCCTCGAGATAAGCCTTTCATTAAGAACAGAAATTTGTTTGTTTTGGCCGGGTTTTTGTTTGTTTGTTTTTTTTTGTTAAATTTATTTCATTTTTTTTGTTGTTGCTAAATAAATGCCATTATATTCTTTCTAGTAGTATCCTTAAAATTTTTATAGTTGCAATTTAACTTTCTTGAATGGGTCACTTATATGAATGAATACATTGAAATATTTGCTATGAATTGAATTTCTTAGGCTAACAGAATAATGAATTTCCAGGAGTGAATGAATGAGTGTGTGTGTGTGTATGTGTATATGTATACACATGCATGCCTGCTTTTCGAAGAGAAGTGGTGTTAATTCTGAGTAAATGATGCAAAAAATGAAAATAATATATTTCTTAATAAAATGTAACAGGGTTTCTTACAGTCCTCAATGGAGGATTGGAATTTAGATAAAGAAGGATTAAACAATAATCCCAGACTCATGGGATGCAGAAAAAGACACTAGAGGTTTTCACCTGTACTCTTATTTTGTGACATTTCATTTTCAAAAAGCAAATCCCACAATCCAGTAAATTCCATAGGTGATCTTTTCAGTTGTATTTGTCTTAACAGCGAGGCAGTGAAATTACTGCTTGACTATTCCACAGGCATCACCTTTCTTCTAAAAAGCCTACCGTGTTAAAAATCACACAGATTGCAAAAATCCAATTTATTATCCAGGATTAGCTAGAACTAATAATTTTTCATAAACTCCAGTTATAGGTATTTTCTCCCTGAGGGAAAATGGAATTCTAAGTCTTCTGTGAAGCTCTAATTAAATATTATATTTTTAGACCAAAAAGAATAATCATCATGTATGTATCACCATTAATAGCCTCAGAAAGCAAGGCTAATTTATGTTCCAAAGTCAAAATGCTAAATATCAAGAGAAAAATCACAGCATTATTACCAAAAGGGAAATTTCTTTGTTAATCACTGACTTAACAGTTACAAAGTCTGATTGGTATTTCTTTAGGAATAAGTTGGTTGATCACAAGTAAAGGACATTGCAAGGGGGATCTGAACTCAAAATATGCATGAACAACCTTGAGTAAGAACCTGCAGAGCTTGTTTTGTCTTTGGTAGTTTGTTTTGTAAGACTTAAGAACATTAACTTATTAAAATGCAACTGTTTAAGAGAGGAAGGCCATTTGTGTTTCAAACAGTTAACACATTTAGCTGATAATTGAAAGACTGGAAGTTCAAGTCCACCTAGAGCTGCTTTAGAGTAAAGGCCTGGTGATCAGCTTCCCAAAATAATCATCCCATGAAAATGCTATGCAGCATAGTTATACTCTGACCCACATGGAATTGCCATGAATCGAACTTGATGGTATCTGGTGTGCAAAAGAGTATGATCAGACTGGTAAATGCTGTACAATGCCAACAAAATGATGTCCTTGAAGAATACAAAACCAGGCAGCAAAAGGTCAAAATTATTTTCCTCTTTGACCCCATTTGTGACAGAGTTGGAAACATCTAGATTATTTGGTTGACATGAGGGTACTGCTTATGAGGTGAGTTCTTAGAGTAATTCTCCCTGGGGCTGGTGACTTGTGTTCTATATCTTAAGAAAAGAAGTTCAGGCTGCTTTGAAGGAAATGGCCAAAAATAAGGCTCCAGGAATAGATGGTATACCAATTGACATATTTCAGCTAACAGACGCTGAACGTGCTCACCAAGTTGTGCCGAGAAATCTGGAGAACAACCACTTGGCCAACTGACTGGAAGAGATCGATATTTGTTCCTATCCCAAAGAAAGGTGACCCAACAGAATGTGGAAACTACAGAACAATCTCACTGATTTCACATGCAAGCAAGATTTTACTGAAGATTATTCAAAAATGACTGGAACAGCACATCAGCAGAGAGCTACCAGAAGTCCAGGCTGGCTTTAGAAGGGGTTGTGGTACTAGAGATATTGTAGCTGATGTTAGATGGATCTTGGCTGAAAGCAGGGAATACCAGAGGAATGTCTATCTGTGTTTCATTGACTATGCAAAGGCATTTGACTGTGTAGATCATAACAAACTATGGCTGACTCTGAGAAGAATGGGAATCCCAGAACACTTGATCATTCTAATGCGAAACTTATACTTGGACCAAGAGGCAGTCGTCAGAACAGAGCAAGGGAACACGGCATGGTTCAAAATTGGGAAGGGCGTATGCCAGGGATGCATCCTATCTCCATACCTTTTCAACCTATATGCAGAAGAGATTATCCGGGAGGCTGGGCTCTATGAGGAGAAATGTGGGGTCAGGATTGGTGGACGATTTATCAACAACTTGCGTTTTGCGGATGACACCACCCTGCTTGCTAAAACTGAAGAGGACATGAAGTGCCTGCTGCAGAGTGTCAAGGACTGCAGCCTACAATATAGATTGAGGCTCAATGTCAAGAAGACAAAGATTCTCACCACTGGACCAATTGACAGCATCAGGATGGATGGTGAAGAGATTGAGATTGTACACAGCTTTAGTTTGCTTGGCTCTGTAGTCAACAGTCTTGGCACCAGCAGCCAGGAAATTAAAAGGCGCATTGCCATGGGAAAGTCTGCTGTTAGGGACCCCTCTAAAGTACTGAAGAGCAATGGTGTCTCTCTGGAGACTAAGGTGCGTCTGATACAGGCTATGGTCTTCGCAATCACTTGTTATGCATCAGAGAGTTGGACAATGACCAAGGAGAATAGAAGGAGAATTGATGCCTTTGAGCTGTGGTGCTGGAGAAGAGTATTGAGAATACCATGGACTGCTAGGAAAACAAACATTTGTCCTGGAAAGGGTAACCGGGTGGCTCCTTGGAGGCAAGGATTCTGAGGCTCTGTCTAACATATTTTGGACATGTTGTGAGGAGAGACCGGTCCTTAGAGAGGGACATCATGCTTGGGAGGGTGGAGGGACGGCGCAGGAGAGGAAGGCCCTCTATGAGGTGGATTGATTCAGTGAGTGTGATAATTGGGATGGGAGTGTCGGAGACAGTGTGATTGGCACAGGACAGAGCGGAGTTTAGGGCTGTTGTACATAGGGTTGCTATGAGTCGCAAGTGACTCGACGGCACATAACAACAACATGTTATAAATACTTGAAAAGCTAAGTCAGAGTGTGCAGAAATGAATGTAAAACCTGTTGGCTGGCTCCATCATGGTTAGGACAATTTCAGGTATAAAACTTTTAATTATTGTCATTAAATAATTATTTTTGGTACTGTTAATTGCCATTAACTTGTCTTCAGTTGGTGCCAACTCTATGCGTGGCTGATAAAATATTGCCAAATCCTATGCCAACTACATGATCATTGATATGTTTGAGTCCTTTCCTCTATCCGTCTCATTGAGAGGTTTCCTCATTTTCTCTGGCCATTTACTTTACCAAATAGACTGTTACTCTCTAGTATCTATCTAGTGCTCTATCAGAAATGTGCTGTTTCATTTTCGGTAGCTAATTTTCAGAAGTATACAGCATGCTTCCCCCCCCCCCGCGTCTTAATCTAAATGCTCTGCTGGAATCTGTCTACCAGGGATGACTCTATTAGCACTTGAAATATTTGTGATCTAGCTTCTAGTATCATAGCAATATGCACGTTACCACAGTATGAAAAACTGACATATAGACAAACCAAACCTACTACTATGAGTTTATTCCAACTAATAATAAATCTCCACTGGGTTTCTCTGAGGCTATAAATCGTAAGAGAAGAAAAGTCACTTTTCTACTGCAGAGAACCTGATAGATTCAAACTACCATACTTTTGTTAGTAGCATAACAAAAATGAATTAAGTAATTAGAGATCCTTCATATGTGGATGGTGGTGTTATGTGCCATCGAGTCACCTGTGACTCATAGCAACCCAATGCATAATAGCTCTGAACCCTATCCTACCCTATCCTGAGCCAATCTCACTGTCTCTGAGACACTTACCCTCATTGCCCCTGTTACTGTGTCAATCCATTTCATCCAAAGTCTTTGTCTCCTGAACTGTCCCCTCCATCCTTCCAAGCATGATGTTTTTCTCCAAGGACTGGTCCCTCCTGGAAACATGCCCAAACTATGTCCAGAACAGACCTCTTTGTTTTTTTTAGCAGTCCATCATGGTATGCTTGGTATTCTTCTCCAGTTTCATTATTCAAATGCATTGATTCTTCTGGCATTCTCATTTATTGTCCAGCTTTCTGATGGTGTAACAAGTAATTACGAAGATCATGGCCTGGATCAGGTACACTTTAGTCTCTAGATGGAGATTATTGCTCTTTAGAAATCTTGCAAGGTCTCTGACAGCAGATTTTCCCAATGGAATTTGTCTTTTGACTTTCTGACTACTGGTGCCAAGAGTGGTGATTGTGGAGTAGAGCAAGCTAAAATTGTAAATAATCTCAATCTCTATCTATCATGGTGCTTTCAGTTGGTCCAGTGGTAAGAATCTCTTTCTTCTTGATGTTGAGCTTCAATCCATATTGCAAACTGCAGTCCTTGACCTTCTGAAGCAAACAGTTGTATATCTCTCTTATTGCAATTCTGGCTCAAATCTGATCTTTTTTGATTGTATTTGTTTTCCAAGGCTGTAAATTGCATATAAGGAGTTGGTCCATCTTTCTCTTAAGACGTGCCT